AATGTTTATAAATATAACAAGAATTTCTTGTCTTTTAAAACCAGAACTATTAACTCGAATTACCATAATATCATATAAATTATAAATATGGTGTTGCTGGTACCATAAGAAATTATTACAATCACAGATATTTTATCCGGACAGTATTATTAATTCAAGCTTTTAAAATGGGGTATAACACATGTAACGCCAATTGTTTATATGAAAAAATATTATTAAGTTTTGTATGATTTGCTTATATCTTATAAAAATATGTATTTGTTTTTAATGTCATGGTCAGTTATTGTTGACATGCCTCGCATTAACAATAAAACTCATAGTCACGAATTCAGATATACAATACGACTTTATAATATGATATACGTTGGAACAACTATGGTATGTATATATATATAGGTAAATATGAGTGTATATACCTACTATTACCAGGTATCATAAATAAGATGAAATCTTTTTCATTCAAAATAAATATTTTTTTTTTTTTTACTAAATTTCTCTTCTTGGTTAAGTCAGCTGATTATAGGATTCATTCCTGTTTTCGACTCGAAATCGATACGCGGTTATACCTACTATCTAGTTTAAAATGTTTTTCTTGGGAATTGTATTATGATCTTTTCGAGATCTACATTGTTTAACTTTAATTTTAATAATTTACGTTCGTTGTTGGAGTTAAGTTATAAGTATAAAACACATCCACATGACTTAATGAAAAAGCAAATTAATAAGATTGTTAAACATTTTGTTGCACGTTGCTGTATAATTGACGTAATGTGAACATTTTAGTATACTTGCCTAAGGCAACATTTTAAGGTGTAAACAAAAATTGTGCTTATGACGACATGCACCGTTAAAAACAATGTGCGCGAGTACAATAATATTACTTTAATTTATTATAACTGCGGTTTAGTGGTTAACGACTGTGAATATTACTATAGTTTATGCATAAATAATACAGCTTTTACCTGCAATGATGGTATCGTATGCCTAATGTAATAGTCGTTGTGAAACACACGCGCCACCGGCTTTTCATGTCTCATGTGTGTCGTGGTTGCGCGACTCTTTCCACAAAACGACATAGCTACAATTAGCCATGTACCCGCCTAGAACGTCAAAACGGTAGTTCTGTTGACACAATATAATAATATATTTAATAAACAATAAGTCTCGAGAGTTTTGTCTCCGAGCGCGTAACAATTCCATTATTAGAGCCATACATAGAGCCATTACATAGAACCTGTCGTCTGCTCTGAACGTGTTCGTCCCCGGGTGCTATCAGAATATTTTAGGTCTAACAATAATGTACGTCTATACGTCTATGTTAGCCATGGACTAAGATAAATCGTTCGTGTAAGTGGACGCTATAATATTATCTCTATGATGTTGTATATTATTATGTTTTTATGATGCCTATGACGATTGACGGATAACATACGCGGATGTACCTATACCAAGTTCTGTACAAGACATTTTTAAAATATTATTCGAATACATTTCCATTCGAGTACCTTAAGGCTTAAAGTAACATCTATAAATACTAAAATACGTATTGTTATTATAGATGGTGAGGGCGAGACATGTTACCAATAATATGTGTGTTATACGAGGAAAACTATTTTATTTCTACTTCGGTTGCAGTGGCATAAAATATATTCTGATATAGGTAAGAAATAAAAATTGATATTTTTAAGAAACCTACACATTTTTTTTAGTGAAAAATGAAATATAAAGTTATGTTTCACAGAATGATTAGGTTAGTTTTTGTCGAATTTTTTTCGGGGTACCGATGAATAGAAAGAAATGTATAATAATATATAGGGTATAGTTACGCGCTACAGCTCAATTGAGTGGGACACTGCTATTTAAACTAATGTCGAATTGAAACACATAATATATCTATAAATTAAAATATGATAATGATAATTACTAAAACGATATATAAATATATTATACTTACATACACATCGACCGAGTACGCATCATCTTTATAAATCGAAACGGCCATCGATCGCTCGAGGTCAATGTCGTACGAATTAATATAGAAAAGTCGGACGAAAACTGAAGAGTATATATTATAATATTGAAAAATAATACATTTTAATAGAGCGTATTCCGCTAAAAGTGTATTATACTGTAATGGTGTGTGAATGTGTGATTGTATCGTATTGGCAAAAACAAATTATAATTATCTGTAAAAACCTTCGCTGTCTTATATCGGCTACCAAATGTGAGCCTACACCGTGTTTGGAAAATTAACTTAATATGACATCACATTGTACGTCGTATAACCTAAACATAATATTTTACAGTGTTTCCACAGCAAATGGATATAACGAAGAGTCGATCATGAAGACAATAATATATTATTTATACAGAGTGATTCACCAAGCATACCGCTCGCAGTCCAACTTTTTCCTTTAACAATGAATTTGTTCAAACGTTTATTTGAGCAATTTTCAAAAGTATACTCAATATGGCCCATATTTTCAAATTTTAAGATTGAAATGGACCACCCATACAACCAGAACCACTGTAAACCTACTGTACCTAAATTGTAAAATTTTTTTTTTTAATTGATGTATATTAATCGAAATATTCTAATCATAATTTGGATTATAAAACATTATACACGCTGTACCTATCCACGGTAATAGGTTTAAAGACACGAGGCTTATTATGATGATAATATATTAAAATTATAGCATTTAATTAAAATTGTATAATTTAGGTACAAAAATCGACTGAGTCGCTATAATAACTACTAAGTACCTACTAGACCTCTATAGCTTTATTTACTAAAATATGTATTTATTTTTACTTAATGTTCAACAGAATATATCAAGTATTATTATCCTAAATCCACAAAGTTTAATTACTGTGAAACTACTCACCCGAATTTCGATCTAGAGTCTAGACGGGTCATCGCACTTACACACAAAATTATCTGCAGTAAAATTAGTGTTATACACAGTAAAAAGTGTGTATCTTATTTGGTTGAAAGATATACTTGAACTCGACACGGTGTTCTTCACAAAATATGGCTGATCGCCATTAGATCCAATTCTGAGTCTCAACATACCTATTGCCATAAGTCGGTTTTTGGGTCTCACTAAAATAATTTTCAGCCCTTTCTGCGTGTCAATAATCCGTACTTTCTGGCCCGATTTAAAATCTACAGTGTTGCCACTTTCATCAGTAGGTGTTACAAGTTTGCAAATATGATAATTGGTTTTTTTTTTTAATCGATATATTTTGTTTAAATTGACAAAACTGTATTTTAGTAAACTTATGAAAAAACCCGTGGCGGTGAGGACCAAGTTTGGTGAGACCCAACTTCGGGTTTCGTGGCGCTCGACGTGTTAAAAGTCGCAAATATCAGAATTTTATTAAGTGTAGTATTAAAGAACAAACAGGGGAGGGGTGAGCATGTTTTGTGAATCGCCCTGTGTATAGGTAATAGACGTATACCGAATACTATACGGACAATCAGCGACAGGGAATACTAAACATCTTACGTTTGCAGGACATCGCGTGAAACACAGTTTTAAACTATATCGAGATATTGTTCTCTCGTTTGGAATTTGGGCGAGAAAAAAAATTCGCCTGCGATAAAACAAACAACAAGCGGGCTGTATGGTGTATTATAATAATATTGTTTTGCGGCCATGTATACCTCCTACTCGCGTCGAGATGCGAACGGTTTCGAAACGGTTGTCACGCCAAACGTCCGCGCATCATCATCATAAATGCATATATAACAATAATATTATGCGCTCAGATCCGCGGTATCATGATAAATACAAATATAAATTATAATAAAAATATTATGTGTAACGCATACGATATAATATTATAATAATATGATGATAGTCACTTTCGACTTTCCTACACGAGATTTTCCTTGGTCGATAAAATAATGGCAACAATAGGCGGCGGCGGCGGCGGCGGCGGTAAACATGATAATAATAATAACGTGATGATGATGACGGGGACGAAAACGTGAAAAAAAAAAAACCCAAACGTCGGTGGAAAAAAAATGTCAGGGAAAAAATGCAGAACTGTAGACGACGATGTGCCGCCGCCGTCGACTGACTGGGCACGTTTGTCTACAAAATAATGTAATGTAAATTATTTATATATATTTAAGTCCGCCTTCGGGTCACTGTGTGATTTTGACTTGTAATTATCGCGGAAATCGTGTGTAGAAAAACCGCTGCGGGGATTCGGTGTGAACTAGTTAATCAAATGACCATTTAACTTATATATTATTATATTTTTACATTGTTTTTTTTTTTTTTTTCACTCACTCTCCTATATTTCTTTCGTTTTTCCCTCTAGTTGCCGGCTACCTAAACCTATGTACCGCATAGCTTCTTCCTCCCACCGGGCCGCGTATATATTGTCCATAGTCCCATATAGTTCATTGTCGAATTCGTTATAGTCACCGTGTTTATTTTTTAGTCTCTCCGATTTTTTTCTCCTCTCTCCGTCTCCCCGCCTCCGAGTCTCTCCCCTCCGCCGCCGCCGCCACATCCCGCAGCTACCGACTACTCCCCTCCGCGGAGGGAAAAATGACCGCGTGAAACGGCGAATTTCCCGACGACGCTTCGACACTACTCTATATAGGTATACACACCGTACCTACTACTAAAAATAATAATAATGATAATAATAATAGCAGCAACGAAATAATAATCACGACGACGGTCGTCTTGAGCGGGGGATGACGAGGGGCAGCAGCCGCGAGAGCGGCGGCCAAGATCGATTTTCACGTCACTGTCGTCGCCGCCGCCGCCGCCGTCGCCGCATAGTCTCGTTCCGTCGACCACCTGCCGCTAAATCCGAGCATATATTAGAATATCGGCCACATACCGTACATTGTAAACCAGGTGTATACCTCGACCCGGCCGCTTACCCGACTGCTTATAACCCTGACCGCGGTATCCCAGGCTCGCACAACACCCGCGTCGCGGTCACGCCGCCGCCGCCGTTACACACGCGTCATGATGCCCGCCATGACGTTGCTGGTGCTGTCGTCCACGTCGCTGTTGGCGTCCGTCGCCGCCACGTCGGCCGACGACTGCGTGCTGGACCTGGCCATCGTCTGTCTGGACGACAAGCTGCTGGTGTACGTCAATTGGCTGGAGAAGCGGGACAAGCTGAACGTGGTCGGTGACATCGTGACGATCGTCAAGAAGAAAGAGGCGGGCCTAGCCGAAGACAGGTCCAAGCTGCAGCCGCACAACAGCAAGCCCCACGTGCACCGGGTCAGCACGTCCCTGGGACCTGCCATCGACGAGTACTTCGACACGCACACCATCCGGATATCGCTGCCTTGGATACTCGACGACGACATCGATCTGGAACTTGACCAGCAAGGTGACTATGGTATATATTATTTATCACGAGGTGGAGCCGTCCGCGAACTGTACCTTTGACTGTTTATTGTTTAAGAACGATCTGCAGATGCGATGTGCATCGTGCAACTGCGTAGGTATATAATAGTGGTAGTGGGTGAGCGCGATCGGATAGGTTGGAGAAAATATCGTATCAAGTCACATCGCGGTCGACCGGGACGAATATATTATATTATTAGGACGAATGGGGTTTGAAACTAATTTAGAGATCAAATTCATATTTCGTGTGTCGTGGTTGAAACCTGTTATAGGTACTTAAATATGATGTGTTCTAGACTTCTAGAGGTTAGCCTTAACGTGACAGCAACGTATGTAGGTACTTTATAAGTGATTTAATAATATTGTACAGTGCAGCAGTTTACCTACGAGGGGTGTTATACTCCTTTGGCAACCACTTATACCTGGCTTCTGCAGGATACTTGTTGACAAAGTCGTCTCCGTCGTCGTCGTTGTTGTTGTTGTTGTTGTTGTTGTCACAGCGTAATCGACCAGCTCGCTGAGATAACCCACGAATGAGACGTGAACCGCGGTTGGATTTTATTCGGTCAACGATCTTTATATTTTTATCTCGAACGACTATTTCTGCTGCAACGCCGTCGATTATTTATCGTGGACATACAATGTCTCCGTCATTATCTATTGCTGCAATATTAGGCCTTTCTGTATTGTTATATCAGTCCAAAAACGTAAAAGTTAAAATCCCTATTGTAAAAAAACATGCTTTAGTATTGTTCACCGTGTATATGGAAATCGTAATGTTGTATTATAGGACTCTTCCGGTTAATAAAAGGACAAAATAAAATTGTGTATGCGACAGTGAAAACGTTGCAGAAGTTTATACATCGAGAAGGGACGACATTTCGATTCATCATTCTATTCATTTGACATTTTGTTCGACGTTCGAATGGTATTGATTACGATTGTAATTACGGATCACGAGATATTATGCGTTTATTATTACCTTTATTTTAGTTTATTTTTCCTGTATATATATTACTTACTATGCTGTCTATGCCTATAATAAACTATTATGTCACATCGTATTTACCGTAAAATGATGTTTTATAAATCAAACTCAGTTTATTATAGGTCCATGCATATCACATACAACCATAAGGAAAACGATTTAGCCTTATCAAAATATAATATATTATATTGAAATTACGACGGTAATAATTGTCTCATTCTGTATAAAATTATTACTGTCGACACAGATAAAACAGGCGTCACCATCTTTAATGCCCAGTAAAATTTATCGTTATTGTTCAAATCACTTCAGCATTGTACTTATTATAAATTATAATGTCCCTCTGTTACTTTTATTTTTTGTTTTTGCTTTCGTGGAAAAAATATTCAATCTTTTTAAATCAAAACTATAAGTTTTTTGACCTGGATGGAATTTACGTGCATTTAATATGATATTTAAATGGTTTCATTTAAACATAATAATATTGCATATAGTAATACATAATTTACTAATGAAGTTATAAATACTTATAAATATATCACTTAAACTAACTGTTTGTGATTAAGTCTATAATTATTGGTCTTTGATAAAAACGAAAATTATAAATCAGTTTGAGTTGCGATAAGCTATAAAGTACAATTAATAATTAATTGGTGAGACAATATTTCATACATAATAATTATATACCAATAGTTATTACTTATTAGGAATAATGTAAACTTTATCATACAAATTTATCTTATTTTAAAATACACAAATCTAAACTTTTACTCGGTTATATAAAAGTAAAAATAAATTATTGCCAAAAGGAACTTTATATTTTGAATTACAGTTATTATTCCATACAAAAAGTTTTCGTTTTTATTATGTAAAAGTAAATTAATTATGTATTTAAGTATTCATATTAATTTTCAGACTATTATAAAAAAAAATTGTACATTTTGATCGATCGACTTACTGCTGTAAGTTTGTTCCAGATTTTATTGAATTTCGTAAATAATAATAATAATCTTCAAGTGACAATAATTGGTACATTAGTTCTTAATTGATCGGAGATCAAATGATTTTACATGTGGTGATTATGTGCAAATGTGCAATTTATTTTGTGGCAGTTGAAACCTCAAAAATTGTTATAAAGAATCTCATAAACACTTAGAGTATACTGTATAGTGTATACATATAACATTGTAAATTTAAGAAAAAATATTGTACTTTGCACGAGTATTTTAAGAGCATATTTTAAGAATTGTCTTATTCATTTCGAAAATAATACTCTATAAATACAAACTAGTATTAAAAAACAGTTTTACGATGTTCTGTTAATCCGAATTGATATTAAATTTAAAGAATTTCTTTCCCAAAAAATCTAAATTCAATAGATTCTTAATTATTATGTATGTAGATTTGTTGAAACCATCTACTGCCGAAAGGATGAAATCCTTTTCCCAAGTTTTAAATTCAAATATTTTCGATTTGGTTATCTATTGGTTCGGCACCGCCAAGTTGATATCTATTTTTGGTTGAACGTTTCAAAAATGAAATTACAATACGTTTTGCAAAGTAGTGTATAAAATGTAATTTGATAAGTTATCTTATGAGCTTAAAAATTATATAGAGTTGATTTAAAATGAATATGTTATTGTTTTTCACTGTTTGTTATTTGATAGGTCGTGTGCTTAGAACTATTATTACGTACGTAGTATTTCGATGAAGTATTGTATTTTATCAGGTCAATATTATTTCATAAATAAATTTAATGATTGTAGTAATAATATATTAAAACGTTTGAATGTCCACATTACTTAGATACCATCAATATTACTGAATGAACAATGACTAATGAGTATTGAACATTAGTTTTCAACAAATAATATTATGGCTGGTGTAATATAATCTCATAAAAATATATTTTACCACCTACCTTGCGTGGATAATTTTTCATCTTAATTTCAATATGGGTCACTGAACTAAAAAAAATAAAAAATAATATTGTGAAGTCACCGGAACAAAGGGGTTAATAAAGGCCATCGAATAACAAATTAAACACACGAATGTTTTTGATTTTGTTTATCCAATGTGTGTGATTGTATTAACAAATTAATTAAAATATTTTTTTTTCCCCAATAATAATTACGTGTGAAATTTTTCGTCGGATCCGTTATTTTTACGGTAAATGTTAATCTCATCGTGTGACAGATGATTAGGCGTTTCTGGCGGATGGAAATTAATGGAAATACTGCAGAATTAAACACCGAAGCTAATGTGAATAATCTGTCATTTTAATAAGATCGGTCTTTATTAGACGAGGAAAATATATTCTTCTAGATTATATTATTATTGTGTTACGAAACGCCTGAGATGTCTCTGCTGTACAGTGTACACGATTACAAAACGTCTCAGGTTATTATGACGTAACATCATAAATCTCAAATCCGAACTCGTGTGACGCGTTGTGGACGATCAGACTGCATATTTTAATCTTCATGACATATACGATTAGTATATTTTAGAGTAGTAGATAAGTATTAAACGAGTCAATATTTTGCGTAGGTATATTCACTATGTGTACACACATAAGCGTAATATTTCCTAAGGGAGACAGATCTCGTCATTTTTTTACTGCGAGCAATGCGGACATTATACAACAACAAATACTATTATATTATATAATTTGTATTATATTGTTGTGGACATAATAATACGTATCATTAGTTGAATATATTTTATGTTACTCAATTGTATAAATATTTACCTATGCATTACTAATGCTCTTACGCGTGGATGGACTTCGAGTACAAAATATAATTCTTGTTCACTGATATCGTTGCTCAAGTCCTGTTAATTATTTCTGCAGACTTCTGAGCTGTAAACTTCTAAAATATATATTTGTTTCCAACCATTCGGCATCTAAAACTATAAGCCCAAAAACAATTATCACTCCCAAAGTCTCAACATTGACATAATGAAAATTATTTTTAATATGTATATATATGCTCCGAGGTTAGCTAGCTTTTAGGATTCTGGGAAGAAATAGAGGGTTAAGTTTTGGAATTTGCTTAGAAACCTATATCGAGTTTGAAAGTCAAACCTTGGAAAACAACTTATGAATCAATTTACGTGTTTTGCGTGGGTAGTAGTAATATGGCGGTGGCCCGTGAGCTGCGGTTGCTTAAACAGTTAAAACTAATTTCACTGGCGTTAACGTTTAGGTTGGACAGAAACATCGATCACCTTCAAATACTCCGCAGTTACCACAGAATCGCTAAAATAATTATTTCGACGTGTAAGCAAAACCATTATTTTTTTTTAAATTAATATATTTTATAGTAGGTAGGAACTATTTTAGTAAAAGCGCATATTGAATGAGCATAGTTATAGGTATAGCTAGAGACTATTACTAGATTTTTATGTTTTTACATATTTATTTACTGAGAATATGCAGCTCCAATTGGACAAGCTTTCTCGACGATTCATTTTTGTATGAACTGATGTACAACACATTTTTTTTAGCGCATACAAAACTATATGTCAAGGTTAAAGACTATTTTGTGCAAAATAATATGTTTTATTAATATATTGCTGTATTGGGGTACATAGAAAAATGCAAAAATAATTTTGACCTCCGTCAGTTTCTATAACCTTATCAATGTGAAAAGCAATATTGCTAAGATTATCGATTCGAGGAGAATGACTATACTCTGTTCAAGTTAAGAAACTTAGTCAACGACGACCAGGTTGTAATCAGGCAACACCCGTTTGTCACCATCACCCAGTAAATTAATTATTGTATACCTGCCCTGTATTATTGCCACGCCCCTGTGCACAAGTCAGCCGCTGACTACGTTTCTTAACTTGAACAGAGTATAGAGAGACGCGATTTGGGGTTTATCGCGGTGTCATCGTTGAGCGTTGAGGGAAGCGCGTCTGGTCTTGAGGGGAGTCGAAACGGAGAGAGTGGCTCGGCTCGGGCCTGCTATGACTGTATTTGAATATTTTATTAAATATTATTATTAATTTAACTATTTTATAAACAGCTACTTTTTTTGTTTTTTCAGTATTAAATACAAAATGTTATGAAAAAAAAGATTTTTTCAAAAAAGATTATTTTCATGAAATTATAGATTATAGAAACATTTTTTTTTTAGATTTTAAGCGCATATAAATCCGATCTCTAGTTATATCATAATATAATATTATACGTTATAGGTATAACGTTTCTTTTTTAAGAATCAAGTCAATTAATATTTTTAAAAAGGTACTTATTCGGGCGAGTTATTCCATTATGTAATGACTAACAAGTTTTGAAAATGTTCTCAATCAATAATTTACTATTATTAGGGGAGGATATTTAATGTTTATTTAAGGGGATTGCAACCACAAATATTTTTCATCAAAACGACCTAAGTGATTGACAAAAATTAAGGTGTTCGATTTTAAAAAGATGTAAAGATGTTTGATTTGGTGTACAAATTTACTTTGCATCGGTCGATGCTACTATAAAATTAATCTAAAAATAAAACATTTTGGTTATAATAATAGCATATTGAATTTCTTTTAACGATCTGTTTAATGATATTCAAATTTATTCACGCGACTTAAATAAAAGTATTAAACTGATATAATATTATAAGACATACATATTATGGCAGTTACCTTCCCATATTTATTATTATTTATTATAAAGTACTAAAGTACCATTTCTTAAAGACATTGAAATGGCGTATTGAATTTATTATTATTTTTTATTTTATTTCATATAGCTGTCCCGTTATAGTGTTTTATATTTACTTTGATAAATGATAATTAATGTATAAATGTTGTTAATGTGCAAAAAAATAAGAAAAGCGACTGTCCGATAAATCGCTGATAAAAAGCTGAACAATTAAAAATGTATAGTTTCCAAGTATGTGAAACTAATAGGTCATACGAATAATTCGTTCGACTCAATTTTTATTTGCGCATTCCAATATCATAATAGAGGACGCTACCTACGCGTTTGTTGTGTCCGTCTTCACGTACGACATGGAAAATTTTCGTTCACTAGTTTCAATAGTGTGCTGTTAGTTTTGATATTTTAATGAATTGACCTATTCTCAAAATTTTAGGCAAGCACATTATCTGTGCTAGTCGTCAACAATTTATTCGATATTTTAATTTCCAAGCAATACGACATGATGGGTATGTGAAATATTACAAATTAAAAATGCTCATATCTCGCTTGAAAATTAAAATGTCGAATAAAAGCCGACTCTTAAGCACTGATAATGTTCTACCTAAAAGTTTTATAATAGGTCAATGCACTCTAATGTCAAAACAAACAGCACACTATTGTAACCAAAATACTGAACTAAAATTTGCCATGTCGTACGAGACATAGATTGACAGAGACGACAAATGTACCGTCCTCTTAAGAAAACATCATAACCATTTTTTAGACATCGCTTTATAATGTGTTCGAGTGAACACATAATCGTCTGACCCTCTCCTGCAGTGTTATTAATTATTATATTGGAGCGTAATAATATGTGTAATTCGCATCCGATTTTCCGTCAGTTATAATTTCGTCGTGATTTCGGTTTCGAATGTCTCTTGATACGTCTTATTCACGTAAACGGCTCTATTATAACACGGTCGATCGAAAACGGTTTCTATTTTTCACCTCTAAAAACGAAAACGTTTATACCTACTATTAAATTCGTCCCAAAGCACAGCTAACGAACAACGATAGAGTGCTGGAGCCTAGAGTAGGCAGTCGTAGAAAGATTTCAGCTGAAGAGAACAATACTGCGGCCGACGCACGCCCGTGTCTGTGAATCGTGTAAACACGAATAGTGTACAACACTGTATTGACGATATAACAATATAAAAATAATAATAATTATAATATTATGTTGTAGTAGGTACCTAGGTATAATAACTTTTCTATGGGTATACCGTGTATAATTCATTAGGACGGATGAAGCCGATCTGCGCGGACGGCGGCGGCGTCCCGACAAACATAATAATAATACAAATCCGATAGCGCCGGCGCGTTGATCATTTCTAATAATAATAATATTATAATTGTTATTGTCGTTACTATTGTCGTTTTCGTTTCACGTCAGCTGCGCCGATTTGCAGCACAATTATTATTTTGCACTATGTCCGGAAAATCGACCGACTACAACTGCGTCGGTGTGTGTGTGTGTGTGTGTTACCTACCCATATTATATAGTGTGAAAGACTGTGATCGAATGAGTACGATTTCTGTGCGTACATTTTCGTTTTTCGTGGCGAAAGCGCCAGTTCACGTTTTCCGAGCAAACACTGAACGGAAGCCGACCTGTGCAATATATAGCTGGTGCAGTGAATCACACAATGGGTCCTATGTCGCATTTAATATATATATATAATATGGCGTGTTTCTGCTAACCAAGTGTTCCTAATAAAACTCATCGATGGTTCTATATCGATGACTATCCTGCAGAACTACTTGGTAAACTGAATTTCAAGATCCCCAGGTTCCTGCAGTAGCGATCACTATAATATATTCACTTTATCTTTTTTCATACCCCTTTGCACCTCCAACATTATACTGATTATACATTATATTGATTATTGTGAACTGCGTATAATTTTATTTTTCTTAAAAGGACTGTGCGCGGTGCAAATTTCGATACGTGACTAACTCGATATCACCAGCAAAGGGAACACCGACGACAATAATATCATAATCTTAATCGCAATGATTAGAGCTCTAACACAATGTGTTCTGCAGGATGATGCGTATTGTCAATAATTAGTAATTACACGTCTGCTTAATTTTGTTAATATTATGCATAAACAATGTTTATCTTAGAGTTAATATATTTTCGTATGTATACCTATATACTATTAGTCTATACTTTTTGGGGCCACTGCAGTTCTATTATAAAAACATAAAAATATTATGATAATGATACATTGCAATAGTGCACTCTGGCGAATAGTTGCGAGAGGTTGATATTTCTTCTACGCGTGCGTCTCTGTCTCTGTCCGGGCGTGGAATATCGGAAAAATGTTTGAGGTCAACGGGTTAATCAAATGACGGCGATCGTCACATACTATATTATATTATATTTTATATCTACCTACGAATACTTACATGATTGCAGTGTTGTCGTATATTTTAGCTTTTCGCGGAATTAACGAGAAATTGCCGGTTCGCTTTTCCGAGCAAATACTTCTGAACGGAAGTACACCCTCGATAGGTGTGTGTAATACAATAGTAGGGCCCAAGTCGCATTTAATATAATATGATAGTGATAATAAATAACTATTGTAATATAGTGAAAAGCTGCGAGATTAAGATATTTCCTCTACACCTGCGTCTCTCTCTCCGTCCGGGTGAACATCGGAAAAATGTTTGAGGTCAACTGCAGGTTAATCAAATGACGGCGATCGTCACATACTATACATATAGTGTTGTATTGACCTACCTACGAATGCGTACGACTACAGCGTAGTAGAATATTTTCGTTTTTCCAGACATTGACGCGAAAGCGCAGCCGGTTCGCTTTTCCGAGCAAATACTTCTGAACGGAAGTCGACCTGCAGCAAGGTGTGTGTAACACAATAGGACCTTAGTAGCATTTAATATATAAATATATGTTACGATTTAATGATATATTGTGATAGTGCACGCAGGCGAATAGCTGCGAGAGGAAGATATTTCCTCTACGCGTGCGTCTCTCTGTCCGGGCGTAGAATATCGGAAAAATGTTTGAGGTCAACGGGTTAATCAAATGACGGCGATCGTCACATACTATACATATCGTGTTGTTTTGACCTACCTACGAATGCGTACGACAACAATGTAGTAGAATATTTTCGTTTTCCGAGACATAGACGCGAAAGCGCAGCAGGTTCGCTTTTCCGAGCAAATACTTCTGAACGGAAGTCGACCTGCAGCAAGGTGTGTGTAACACAATAGGACCTTAGTCGCATTTAATATATAAATACATGTTACGATTTAATGATATATTGTGATAGTGCACGCAGGCGAATAGCTGCGAGAGGAAGATATTTCCTCTACGCGTGCGTCTCTCTGTCCGGGCGTAGAATATCGGAAAAATGTTTGAGGTCAACGGGTTAATCAAACGGCGGCGGCGGCGGTCGTCACGAGTCATTGGGCGATAGCGTCATTATAATAACGTTGGTGGTATATTATAATACACACCACAGCCTTATAATGTAACACTGTATACCGGCACGTTATACTTTACTACCCAAAGACTTCCGCGACTACTCGAAACGGCGGAGGCGGCGGCGCATTCCTTTATATATGTATTATGCTCGCGCGTAATTACTCTCCCAGTCCAATTGGCCGCGACGCACGCGCAATTACTGCGACATAATATAAATAATAATATAATGTATACAACGAGTTATTATTATAATAGTAAAATGATAATATTATTATCTTAGGACGACGGCGATAACAATGCGGGAATGCGCGCGCCGTATCATTATCGTAATACCGCCGCCCACGCGTATTTATATATATTTGCTCGCGATTTTTTTTTCCCTTCCGTTTGTCCGTAATGTTTACTTAGGCATTTATTCTCACCGCGTTTTCCGCGTGCCATATATCTGTATTTATTTATTTATTTATTTAATTTTTTTTTTTTTTGTTGTTGTTGTTGTTCCGTCGGGATCTAGGCCGCGGCAAGAAGACCAAATTGAAACACCTCAAGAAAATGATGTCGATGCTGGGCGTTATCATGTGCGCCAAACTGTCGCTGATGGGACCGCTGGCCATGGTCATGATTGGCGCTAAAGCGCTCAAGGCACTGCTGCTGGCCGTCGTGTCGCTGACCATATCCAAACTCATGTTGCTCAAGAAGTTTAAGGGCGGAGGAGGCGGCGGAGGCGGATACGGCAGCGGATCCGTGGTCCAGGCCGACTGGTCGTCGGACAAGGACGACCGGAACGCGCATCTGCTAGCCTATGCCGGACAGTCGGCCGCCGCCTCGGGGACAGCTGTCATGTCGCCGTCTTCGCAACAACCCCTCCAACAGATGTACCCTTCGTACGAACCTCACGGCTACCACGGGGCTGCCTGAGCGCCGTCACACCATGACCATCGCAATCATCACCAACCCCCTATACCACCATCACTATACCAGCACTACCCACACATCACTGACATCCCCCTCCGCCACTACTTCCGGTCACCGGATATGAAACATAGCACTTTCGTGGATATCCGTCCGGAAGTGAGAGGGCGGACGTCATCCGAACGCGCGTGTCCGTCAAACTAGTCACCGCTATTTACCCATTCGACCTTCACAAACCAACCACCATCGCCACCTCCACCTACCAACCATCATCGTTTAGCTGCATAGCTCCAGGTATATCATTTGCCATCCCCGAAATCTATAAGCCGCCCAACGCTACCCCCTACCCCTAAATTATTATTTGAAACTTCCTGCTGCTGCAGGTATATTATTTTTCAGTTTTTTCCCTCAGTTTACCGTGTTATATATTATAAATGGGCATTATTATTGTCCTTACCGCACCTATTTTGAGAGGATTTTTATTTTTTTAACTTACTGTACTAATTTTCTCAGTCAATTTCAGTGTTGCGTACATTGTTTTTTGTATCACTGAATAGTACCTAGGGGTACTTATGAGTTGCAACAATAGAAAAGAACAAAGTTTTAGAATTTTTTATGAATGTCTTTCTTAGGTTTTGTTTAAAAATGTTTTCTAATGGCAACTCTTATTTTTAGTTCATGTTCCTAACAATTCAAACTAGAGTATTATTTTTTTGATCAATTTGTATCTACGAATATTTAAATTTTTATATTATTTATAATCGTTAAAAGTTTAGTTAAGATGAATGGTTTGTTAGTGGATACTTTACGATAATTTTCGGTTCCCGCTCACCGGTCATCAATAATAATTGAATTATTTATAAATTATTAGTTATTGGGTCAATATTTTATTTATTTTACTTCACCGACATTGCCAAATATAATAATTCTAAGTATAAAATTAAAAATATGAATTGCCATTAAAAAAAAAATTAACTTAAAAAGACATGAAAAAATCTAATTTTTTGTTGCAAAAACGCAAGAGCTTAGTAAAAACACAAATATTCACTACTTATAATATTTTTATTCATAATTACTTATTATATTACATTACACTATGAGGATAGCTTTTGAGTTTCCCACATACCAATCGTCTTCACTTCTGAAATCTATAAAGTATTAACGTCGTTCACCACTATATACTATACGATTTGTCAATTTCATCGGTCGACAATCAAAATATAATATAATTCGATACACGATATCACGTGTGATAACATAATCGTCTAAGTACAAGTCTAAAACCTTTTTTCAAACCCGCCCATTTGTTGAAAAACTACCAAGTCACTGCATAGGCGGAGTTCAGTGTGTTTTTGACATGTTCTGTTTTTTCACTCTTTTCTACTATAAAATTAAATACCTAATTACAATTACGAGATTCCCAACAGTATGGGTAATAATATTATAGTATATTAAATATATATATTAATACATTATGATGTAATATAAATTATATAGGCCTCTAATACGATCGTCGAAGAATTATAATATATGTATTATTTATTTTTTTTTAATATTATCATGTACACGACAAAATCGACAGTCGTTTATTTTACCTTTATTCACCTCAAGGCAACCACTTGATACAAATGAAATACAATTTTAACAATTACCACCACCCCACGACCAAGTCGTTTCATAACGCTGTTATAATGTGAGAATTTATACAGTTTTTTAGACGTTGTGGCTTTCGCGATTCTTATAATATTTACACTAGTAATTTTTTTCTTCCTTTTTTTTTTGTATCCATCTACCTATATATTTTTAACAAATAATAATCATAATTGTATATTATATTATATTGTATTATTTATACGGTTTTTATCGACGCGTATTATTGCCTGTACTTTCGTATATGTATACATAAACCTATATGTTTTTATATAATATTTAATTTAACACATTTGTTATTTATTATAAACTATTCATAAGTAATAAAATATAATTATTTATAAATATTTATGTACACTTTCGTTCTGCTGAAACCAATCGAAGGCGTTGGCATCGAAAAGCGATCGTTTACGCTAAAGCAATAATGATTGCCTATCAGACCGCCTCGGTTAGGTAACATTGTGTTCTGCTATTATATTTACTTTACATTGTCCTCATTAAAAAAAAAAAGAAGAACATTCCGCAAAGAATGAAATTTATACAAATAAAAAAAAATGAAGAGAAATACACTCCCGCCTGAACGGTCTGAAGACAGAAATTAGATTATTATAATCACGTAGGTATATTGACATAACCCGTACAAAATCAAAATTAGAAGACAAAAAATGTTGGCCATTCCAATATACTATATTTCTTGGTAAACGATGGGAAAAAAAATTTATAACAATCAACAGGAGCTGCCCCGTATAGCGGTAAGGAAATTTAATTTAGATTAATCAATTAGACACACAATAGATCACGGATAGCACGTAATATAATATACATAGGTATAGACGTTTTGTGTAGACACTATATGCTTGAAAAATATCGAACTGCATAACTTTAGGTATCACGATTATTCCAGTAAATGAATTCTAAAAAATAACGTATTCCAAACAATCGATGGTCGACCTGCACGGTTGATTAATATATATTTTAATAGATGAAAAAAAAAATAAATATTATTTTGGCACACTAATGTTATTTATTCACGATTTGTGGATCAGCTATGAGTACAGCGAAAAGTACTACAGTGATACACAGTTAATGATATTTTACGAATAATTAGTTTTTACATCGGCACGCCATCAGCAACAGATTTGACGTATGGAAACAAATTAATGATAAAGTCAATTTTGTTTCATTGAAATTACTAACTGAAATCACAAAAAGCAAACAAGGGCGTGATTTAATTATATTTATTCTATAATATGATGATATTATATAATAATATTATCATATCATAATATGATTTTAGAAAATACTTCGATTCATTAATTTTACCTGGATGCCCAACTACAGCATAGGTCTCTTCACGTTTTTATGATTCGTTGTTTGTTAATGTCCTATATATATAATAGGTACTCCTATATTAATAATATATAGGTAATAATAATATATAGGTATAGGTATAAGTATTGGGCGTAAGTAGGACTATAGGAGATAATATGAGTGTTCGTTAAAATTTAGAGCAGTATAATAATTATTATAGTACCTACCTATAACAGAGTAAATAGAGTAATTTTCACAGCAACACATTTTCCGATCAGCACTCATCTACGGTGGAAATAAATCATAATTAATTATACAAAATAGATGAATCGTCGGTGTTATGATATTAATATGATGTTGAATATCGATAACGAATGATCATCATGCTCATTTTAAATACCAAAAATAGTGTGCTTAATTATTTTTTAGCTTTAAGCAATTACTTACATATAGGTAGGTACAGTTGTATGAGGTATCACTTTAAAATGCGTCAATTAGGTACCTGTGAATCGTCGTGTATTATGTATATATCAATATAATATAATATTTTTAAATAGGCCATTCATACACAGGTACATTAAACATGTATAGTAATAGTATATTATGTATTGTACGACGTACATATTTCGTGTATGGGTAAATATATAAATAACTTCCGGCAAAAATCACGATTGCCCGCAAATTGTTTCCCAGTTTTTGATTTCGATTGTTCTTCGGTACCATTTAGTTTACCTTTAGTTTTTATCAAAATATACAGGGTGCAACGGATAGAACAGACTTTTGGAATAACTTTTGTTCTAATCAATATTTTAAATTAAATATAGTTTATAATCACTTGCGCTACACATATATTATACAAAAAATTATTTTTATTTTTTAACACTAAAAATAAAAGATTTAAAATTTGGTTTAAATTATTTTGTATGTATTCAAAATAACCAATTTTTGAATCTGATTATAAGAACAATTTTGACGGTAAAAACATTTATATAAGTCAAGTAAATTATTTTTTTAAATTTTTTAAAATATCGATATTTTTTTGATTAAATGAATTTGGAACATATTAACTTTTTCCAAAATATTTTTTTTGGGAATTTTCTGACATGGGTATAGTTCTAAAATTGTTTACTTATCATATAATTTTAACAATTTTTGTCATACGTTTAAGTAGCATCATTTTTTTTTTTTTTTTGGCCAGGTCTTTCTATTACACCTTGTATATAGTTACAGACTTTTTTAAAAATATATAAAATATATATTTGTACATAATAATGTGTTTAAGAGTAGCCAAATATTATATTGTTGTTATAAGTTATTCGAACTGTTAACGTTGAATTTACAAAAAAATGATGAATTTGACATGGTCAAACTATATGTCAACTTTTTACACGGAATCGTAAATGCTTTTAATTAGTGTGCTATAATATAATGCTAAACAAAACGTACCATCAATTAAATATAACATACATTAATTATGAGATGCCCATATTAAGCCGTCTTACTATATTATTATGGTCGTGGTTGTAGGTACTCGTAATTTAGCGACCAATCAATGACAGAGTTTACAATAATTGTTATACCTAAGACTTCTGTGTTTAAAAATACTGTATTTATGTACAATATTTTTTTTTATTATTATGATAAATATATACATATATACTTGGCGTAGGTACATATATAGTACGATCGAATAGTTCGAATTTGAATTTTATTTATTTCAAACACAAATTCTGTCTTAAAATATTTTTAATTATTTAATAAATCACAGAGTTTCAGTAACGTCTACAAGTGCAGTTATCTGAAACTACGTACCTATTTACACATATTATGAGATGACAATTGTATACTGCAAATAATGTGTATGATATAATCCTCAAAATTACATAATATTAATAAAGGTAGGTATACTTAGGAACATAACTAATCCACAAATAATAAACGTATCACTGCAACTCTGTGTACCGTATAACAAGCACACTACAAAGTACAAACAATTCAATGATTAAGATAACTAACATAAAGAAAATAAGTGATTAAAACGAAAA